GAGGGAACCAAAAATAGAAATTGGGACAGCAGACTGGTAAAGCTGTCCCTGCTATCTGCACTCAACAAAAAGATACATAGGGAAATTTTACACCTACTTGATTTTCTTCCCTTTAGAAAATTAAAACTTGTTAAGCACGTTTTAACATATTGCTGAATCAGTAACTTTTAACAACATGATGAACTGATTCTGTTTAAGTGCCCGGCCAGTGGGGCCATTTGCTCAGCCAATTTAGGGGTAGCATATCTGCCTCTTAAAGCTCTTGGCAAATACCTGTACTCTGGGGGTGGAGGCATTTGAGGATCAGAAGAAAAGTGTATTCCTTGTCCCTATCCCATGCTAGACAAAAGAAACATGGGTCCCATGAAAAGTCGTGTAGAAAGTTCTGGTGGTGGAGGTGGCGGCGGGGGCAGCCTGGTGGTGGGAAGAGCCATTAGCTGTGATGACAGCCTCCCCAAGCACTGGACTGAAGGGCCACTCCCATGCCAGGCAAAGCGGCTGAAGAGCCCCAAGGTCTTCACTTCTCCCCACTCGCCATTTCCACCTATTTTTTTTTTTTCCAATTCTCGCTCTTGCAAGAGCTGCCCATCCCCTGCCAGTTTCAGGGCGACAGTTACCAGCATTCCTAGGTAAGTGATTCCTGAGTCAAGACTCCCGGCCCCTTCCTCATGTTCACCTCCATCTCTGGTCTGTTTTTAAGCTATTTGGCATCTTTTTCGTAGACCAGCCATTCAAGTTTTTAAAAACCAGTCAGTGGCTGTCAAGCAAAAATTAACATAAAAAAAACAAAAGCCATGGAATCCACAGGTCAGGTCTACTGCTACTACTTTAGGTACTAAAGGACCCCAATTTTTCTAATGTACAAAAAACCTTCATTTTAAAAAAATGGAAGCAATCTCCATGGTTAACGCTTATTTTACTTTTTATTAAGAAACTAAGGCAAAACAACAGAATTTCAAAATAATTAAAATACAGATTTCTAAGTTTAATTCAAAACAAATATAAAATCCACACCAAGAACTGAAAACCAGAGTTGACCAGTATTTATGCGTCAAGGGGGAATGGCTGAAATGCGCTCAGTCATGACCATACCTTTATGCAAATAGTGCACACATCATATGGTCTGCCGCTTCGAATACTCCTTTTCCTGTATGTGCGGCGGAAGCTAGACCAGGACGCTTCAAAACAGTGGTGCTAAAATGGAATGAAAATTTCCCATGAACTTTCTGAAGCCCCCTGGTATGTGTGCATGTTATTTACACAAGCATGTTCTATGTGTAAAACAGATCTCGTCCTCACTAGCTTATCGTTTCCTCCGTTTCCCTGGGAATAGCACAGGAAAGAGAACTTTTCCTTTATGTCTTCTGCTAGCACAGTTTGTAACTTCACAGGAGTGTTTTTCTTCCTACTTAGCTCTGTATTTGCCCCTTGAACTTTGATGATGTGAGGCACAAAGATGGATCCATCAGAGATACCATCCTATGGTATGCTTAGGGGTAAAAAGATACCAATAAATAATCAATCAAGAAGACCTTTAAACAAACTATGAATATGGTATGGGAAGCATAGCTACGATACATAGCTAGAGGATTTCAAAGGAAGGGCTACATATTGCAGCATGCCCTATGAAGAGAGCACTGGTGCGGTTTCTTCCAATAAAGGCTGCAAAGTGGTCCCTGATTGTGGTGGGCTCAAGTGATGAAAAGTGATCTTCTCAACACGATTCTTTAAGACTCCTTAAAAGTTTCTCTCTTGAACGTGTTTTTGCAAGATGATAAATAAAATATTAGTCTATATAAATAATACCTTGGGAACTTACTTAGAAGCTAAATAGGATGTAACAGGTTATTATATGATTTCGAACCCTGTTTCATTTTTTTCCCCCCCTGTTTCATTTTTAAGCTCTTTCTTTCTTCAGTCAAATTGTATCTAAAGATGAAAGATGCCTAAATCATTAAGCCAAGCCTTGAAACATTCAATTGGCAAAACCAACTTATTTAACGGGCTTTACCAAATCTTAAATTTATTTGAACAAGAATGAGAGGCATGAAATGGCTTACCATTCAAAAGTAAGATCAAGAAAAACAATGGCAACTATGAAATGATTAACCACAGAATTCCTTGTATGAAAAATTTTAATGAATTGTGAGCCACTGACCATTACAGACTTCAAGCCTTAATAGTTCTGCTTTCTTCCGTAAAACCAGGTAATTCAAGCAGCCTAACTCCAGTATGGCAGAACACAGGAGGAAGAGTCAGGTCTGCATGCTTCACTGAAGTCAGCACACGGAACGGATGCTCCCAGTTTCCCATGTCAACCAGGCAAACCTCAGCACATATTTTCCCCCCAGGTCACACTTTCAACTAAAATACAACAGAAATTCATTGTCTATCAATAGCACGCCTCTCCAGAGCACAGGAGCTCTCCCATTGTGTTCTCCTTTACCCTCAGGATCCTGTGAGGTAATAAAGGGAGGAAGCAAGGATGTTTTTCTATTTTGCAGATAAGAAACCCTAAGGGAAATTTTGGATGCGTGGTTCTTAATCTTGGCAGCATACTGAGGGACATTTCTCAAAATTGTGATGACCAGAGGTCATGCCCCAACATCTCAAAACCTCAGGGCACAGAACTGGAGCATCAATACCTTTTCAACACACATGTGACTCCCAAGGAAAGCCCAGGTCTAGAAGCACTGACTGTGGTGGTTTCCACTCAATCTTCAAGTGCAACTGTCTTCTACCTAAACATTATACCAGCACCAGTGAAAAAGAAGAGATCCCAATTCCTCAAACACGCTTGTAGTTGAACATTTTGTACAGTTAGTATTGGTCTTTAGTAATAAATTATTCTGTCAGGTGAAGAAGGAAGGCTCCCCTGATGCTCACCCTGTAAACCTCTGTTTTATAAAGTTTGTAACGGGGATTATCAGAGAATTGAATCTCTAAAAAAAGGACCTGTTAGATTTTTAAGCAGTTACTCATTCTAGGTTGGATATGCAATAACCCTGTGTTTCTGTTTCCCAGGCAGCAGTTTCAAAGCTTTGCTGCAAATGAATGTGTACTACTAAGACAAAACAGAAGCTATGTATCAAACTCTCAGCAAAGGCTCTTGGAGTTGGCAGTAGCATAACCTGAAAGACAAACAAGTACTTGCTCAAAGAGTTTTCTAACTGGTCAATCTTCATCTTCAACCAACAGTCTTCTTCAACCAAATTTAAATTTTACCCAATTGAGCTATTTTGTCACCAGGAAAAGCCAATTTCTGTATCAGCTACATTCTCTAATACATTTAACGAATTTCACCTTTAAGCAACATGCCAAATATATAACAAATACTTGTAACTCTTTCAAGCGACCAGTACCTGTGTTCTGTGGCTGAAACTCCTCATTTTACAGGAGAATTGATCTTTACTCTCCAGGATCAACCCAAGAACCCAGCCGGCTGCTAGCTGTCCCTAACTTTATTAGATTTAAAACAAAATCTACATAGAGCAATAACCAAAAAAGTACAAAAATTCCACTTGTCTTCGTCAGTTCTGATCACAAAGCTGTTATCTGAAACATACAACGTATACTTTCACACAGAAAGACGTCTGCTTCCCTTCTAGAACAGACACTCCACTCGTGTGGGATGGATAGCAGATTTCTCAGTTAAACATTCAGAACAGGAGCTAATGTGACGCTCTTCTACGACGAAACCTTTAAAAGACTGCCAACCTGAAGTTTTAGCCTGCGGTGTTCTGTCTCCTCTCCTGGGGCAGTTATCTGGAGGCGAGCAAGATGAAGAACACCCCTAACTGGGGTTCAGGCTGGCACTGGTGCAGGTGGGCGAGTAAACATTTCGATAGCCCCAGGGAAGGGTTTGAGGCTTAGATTGTTGCATGATGTAAACAATATGGAATTTTAAAAAATTGATAGTATTACTGCATTACAGTTATAAAATAAAAGGATTAACTACTCAAGTCATTTCCTAGTGTCAATGACTAAAAATAGTTTTCTTATTTGAGACCTTTACCACCAAATGACAATGGTCTATGTTGTTAGGAAACCCTTCTCAGCAGGCCAAAAAAATCAAACCAGATGCTCAAAGGATGATCTAAACATAATCGTAATGTTACTAAACATTGCTAAACAAATAACTATGATGTGTAGATCATCCTTACTGACATGCATGATTAGAAATAGATTTGTCCTCTCTCAACCATTAGCCAAGAGATGACGGAATCTTTATTATTATTTTGATTGTTAAAAAATAAAATGAAACTAAACAATCTGTAATAGCTATGCAAACTGTAAGCCAAATGCAATACAAAATGAGCCAATACATCTTTTTAAAACTCTTTCCTTTGTCCCCAAATGTTATTTAGTTTTGTACCATGTAGTGGTTTTTAAGAAAATGAACCGGAACAAAGCAACCCCTTTGTCCTTTTTTTTTATATAGTTTTTTTTTTACACACATATTGTATATACAACTTTTAAAATAGCTGCACAACTTTATAAGCTCACTGTTAGAGAAGTGCAGTCAGGCAGACCATGCTTCTCAATATATTAAAAATATTAAATAAAACCTAACCAGCTCCGTACTCTCCTAATAACCAAGCTGGCTAGGAAAAGGGACTGGAGAAAGAACAGGCAGCTGTAAAATGGGATCACCCTTTCTTAATAAACACACTACTTCAAAATCTCCCTGTTTCCTTATCTTTTCCCTTTGACAGCATCTCAAGAAATCTCACCTTACAAGTTGGAAATAACACATTGCTAACTTAGAGACAAAATCTGTTGCAACATGCGTAAGTCAACTGCCCACTCAACCAACTGCAACCCTGAGGATTTTTCTGGCCTGGTAGAGAGGAAACACGAAGATCATCACTGCTGTAGAGTCGCTTCTCCAGTTCACAATTCCATGTGTTTTCAGGATGTTTCTTGGACATGCATGTATGACACTGTCGCTTCATGATCCTACTTTGTACAAGTAGATCTCTCTTCCACTCAGTCTTTCAGCCCAGCAGAGCTACTGTCATCCATCCAAAGGTTTTCCAAGGTAAACCAAAGTCACTTCTGTGTTGCCATACACAGCAGACACTGCTGGGTATAAACAGGCCTTTGGAAGTCCTCTAAAAGCAACCCCCAGGAATTCATATCCACGTTCAAAAGCTAAAGTCTTATCTTCCATGTCCAAGATGACTCGGATTCTTTCTCCTATCTGCAAATAGATAGCAAAAGCAGGTTAGAAGTGTTTTTTATTTTTAATGTTTTTCTGTAATGAAATCTAGGATAGGTAAATCTATAGGGGCTGTCATTAGATTAATGGGTTTTTGGGAGTACAGCAGAGGAGTTTGGGGCGAAATAGGGAGTTAGTAACAATGAGTAAAAAAAATGAAGAAAATGTTCTAAAACGGATTGTGATGATTGAATTCTATGCTATGTGCATTATATGCCAATAAAACTGTTGGGCTAAAAAAAAAAAAAAGCATGTTAAAAAAAACCCCACCAAGGGCATAACTACAAGAAACATAGTATCAATCAAAATACTGACTACAGTACTCCCCCTCTAACTGTTGACAAAACCAAACCCTACCTATCCCATGCTTCCCGCTGTCCACACATATGGCAGGTACCCAGGAGGCTGTGTGGGCAGCATGAACTCATTGGCAGGGGGCAGCTCAATCTCTCACCACCTGTTTCCAGGCTCACCCCCAGCAGAGGAGGAAGCTGGCTCGGGGACAGGGCAGGACAGCACAAGATTTCATCACACTTCTCAGAAAAGGGAACAATTTAAATACTTTTTGACCACAGGTAACTGAAATTGTGAAAAGCAAAATTGCTGATAAAGGGGTACAACTATATACTACTAGTGACATGTGTCCTAAAAAAGAATATATATGTCCTTACAATTGTCTAGAAAAAAAAAATCAAAGGGGAAGGTTTCTGGCCAGGAAGAAACATCTAGAAGACTATATATTACTCTTATCAAGAATGCTTACTTAGTAGTTTCTTGTTGTTGTTTTTAAACTTAACACTCACAAAGAATCTACATTTAATACTTACATGTATATACCTCCCCTTAAAAGTCCCAAGATTTAATTTATTTTATTTGAAAGATTTTCTTAAAGAGGGCAACCATTGAAATCTCAAATTTGGTATATTTTACCCAAAAAAGGCTAACTAAATATCTCAAATTATATGATAAAACAGCACTTATTAATTCTTTAAATTTTAAAAGCACTTCAACATACAATACAGAACACATATAGTCATGAATCGCCAATTCTGACTGCAGACCCTAAAGATGCATATTAAACTTACTAAGTAGTCTTTTCTGATTCACTACTTTGAAACATGTTATAAAAACAGCAGCAATGACTGCTAAACTAAACTGGAAGCAAATTATACCCAGTTATTTTCCTGTTTGGCAAACTGGAGAACTACTGGTGGTGGTGGGTGCCGCTGCTTGTGTTCTGCCGCATTCTGACTCACGCGTTTTGGCACAGTAAAACTAAACACCACTCCTGCCCAGTGCTGCACCAGCCTCAAAACTGTTAGATAGACTCCCATTTTGGGAGCCACTGTGTCAATCCATCTCATTGAATATCTTCCTTTAAAATTTTTTTTAAAAAACTGGCCCTCAACTTTACCAAGCATGATGTCCTTTACCAAGGACAGGTTCCTCCTGATAACACGTCCAAAGCTGATGAGATGAAGTCTTGCTCTTCTTAACCTAGTTAGTTTCTGGTAGCACTTCTTCCTAAGAAAGATTTGTTCCTTCCTCTGGCAGTCAGTGGTACACTTAATATTTTCCCCAACACCAGACGGAATAAGGGAAGGAATAAACCAAATGAGCACATTGGGCAGGTATCTAAAAAGGCTTTGCTAGCTACATATTTGAAGCACAGAATTTTGCAATTCATATCATAACCCCTGGTGTTGTCATTTATTTTCTGTCAGTGGCATTCTGATGGCAAACAATGGCCAACATCTGCTTTTTCCCTTCCTTTCCTCAAATTACAGATTGATCCACATCCCATTTGATGGACCTAAGAATCACTGCCATTGCTGCTATCACAGCATGAGCAACAATACCAACAACCCAACAGAAATGGAAAGTCAGATTTGGTACGGCCCTTGTTCTGTGCTCTACTTGTATCACCCTACTCAGTTCTCACAGTAATTCTAAGAGTTGTCCTATTTGACAGAAGAGAAGGTTAAGAGGACGTGCCAGTTTGCTCTGCCTCTGACTAACACACAGCAGACACACAAACATGGGGGCAGAACGCTGAATTCTTACTAGCTTTAGGTGTCTACAGGCAAAACTTGGGGAAAGCAGAGGTACAACAACAAAAAATTATCATAGAGGCTCAAAATCTGAGAAAAAAACTGTCAAAATCCTTATTGGACACAGGTATAAAGGGGAGATCTGGCTGAAAAGTAGCAACTAGAAGCCAAAATCGCTGAGCAAAGACTACATACCATGAGGGAGACAAACAGAACTTATCATTTCAATCTAAGCAAGTTAACTGCCTACTAAAACAAGAGAACTGGGACAGTTAAGGTTGCCTGTCAATTTGACTGGCCCAGCACTCTCAGCGACTTGGCAGTTAAGATGTCCTTGTTAGCTGCCACTGAGTTGGTCCCGCCCCTTAGCGACCCTATGAACAACAGAATGAGACACTGCCTGGCCCACACCATCCTCACAATTGTTTCCATGCTTGAGCCTACTGTTGCAACCATAGTATCAATCTATCTCCGTGAGGGCCTGCCTCTTTTTCGCTGCCCCTCCAGTTTACCAAGCATGACGTTCTCCAGGGACTAGTCTTTCCTAACATGCCCAAAGTATGTAAGACAAAGTCTCCCCATCCTTGCCTCTAAGTAGCACTCTGGCCATAACTTCTTCCAAGATGGGTTTGTCCTTTTAGCAGTCCATGGTAATTTCGTTATTCTTCTCCAGCACCATAATGTCAATGCATCGATTCTTCTTCAGTCTTCCTTGTTCATTCTACAACTCTCACATGCGTATGAAGTAATGGAAAAGTCATGGCTTGGGTGAGATGCACCTTAGTCCTCAAAGTAACATCCTTGCTTTTGAAGTCTTGTGCAGTAGATCTGCCCATTGCAATGTATTGTTTGATCCCTGGGCTGTTGCTTCATGAGCATTGACTGTGGATCCAAGCAAGACAAGATCCTTAACAACTTCAACCTTTCGTCGTTTACCCTGATGTTACTTATTGGTCCACTTGTGAGGATGTGGGTCTTCCTTACATTGAGTTGTAATCCAAACTAAAGGCTGCAATCCTTCATCTTCATTAACAAGTGTTTCAAGTCCTCCATGCTTTCAGCAGGCAAAGTTGTGTCATCTGCATATTGCACGTTGTTAATAAGCCTTCCCTCAATCCTGATGCCACACTCTTCTTTATATAAGCAAGCTTTTCTGATTATGTGCTCAAATTAAGATGTAGTCATCCCTAATGATGAGATCTATTATAATGGAATCACTTCCATAGTGAAATCTGCTATGACCAGTTAATCAATTGAAAGGGATTATGAAGAGATCTTGGCAGTGCTTGCTTCCTTTTTGCTGGGTCTGGATCCTGGCTATGGCTTGTCATCGGATCTCTGGTTTCTTGGACTTGAGCCAGGAGCCCGTCAATCCTGGGAGTTGTCAGCAGCCTGCCATCTTACCTGCTGACCTTGGATTCATATGTCTCTGCGGCCATCTAAACTGCCAATCAATCCTGAGTTTATTGGTCCCTGTATCTGTGTGTCAGAAGAAATCTCCAGCCTGACATGTGACCCATGGACTTGGAACTTGCCTGCCTCTACAATTGAGTGAGCCACTTCCTTGAGATAAACCTTCTTATATATGAACATACAGAAGCTTTGCTGGTTTGCTTCTCTAGAGAAGACAGCCTAAGACAAAACCAATACTCTTTAGAAAAATACAAGTTTTTATACAAACAAAATACTCTAGAATCACTACTACAGAATCTACAGTGTCCAATTTTTAATTTAAAAATATATTAGCTATGTAAATAAATCGGAAAATATTTCTTGTAGTCAGGGAGGGCAAAGTTGTCAACAGATACTGACTCCAAATTGTTATAGAAACTGACTCTAAGTGGGCCTAGTTGCTTAATTTGGTAGAATAAGCCCTTCGAAGTACCTTTTATTATTTTAATAAAAAAATATAGTATTAATGAGTGGACAGGGATTCTAAAATAAAAAATAAAAATAGATCCAAATGAAAATTCTAGTGCTACAAAATAAAATAACCCAAAACCACTAGATGGACTCAATGGCAAAGGAAAGAATCCGTGAATGTGAAGATGGAACAACAGAAATGACCCAATGCAAATAAAAGGGAGAAATAAAGATTGACAGAACCCCAAGAGAAAACGTAGCTACAGAGGCACAGAAACATGGACAAGACCAAATTACCTAGCAATTACACTATTAAATATAAATAGACTAAACCAGAAGTTCTCAACCTGTGGGTCGCGACCCATTTGGGAGTTGAATGGCCCTTTCACAGGGGTCGCCAGAATCAAAACATTACAGTTATGAAGTAGCAACAAAAATAATATTATGGTTGGGGGGTCACCAACCATATTAACTATATTAAAGGATCGCGGCATTAGGAAGGCTGAGAACCACTAAACAATCAAAAGCCAGATATTGTGGCACTGGATTGGATAAAAAGCAACATGCAGACACTGTCTCAATCTTGTCTACACTGTTGATGTTAAGTGTCGAATGGTTCTGACTTACAGCAACCCCATGCATTACTGAATAAAACACTGTCCACTTTCAATACAAAAGCAGACTAAAAGTAAAGGATGGAAAAGATATTCCATATAATAATAAGCACAAAAAAGTTGGAGTAGTTACTGCTATCAAATAGACTTAACGACCAAGAGTATTACTAGAGACAAACAAGGACAGACATTTCATAATGATAAGAATTAATGACCCTGGGGGATGGACATTAGAAAAGTGGGTGAAGGGAGACGTCGGACAGTGTAAGATATAACAAAATAATAATAATTTATAAATTATCAAGGGTTCATGAAGGAGGGGGGAGGGAGGGGGAAAGCGAGGAGCTGATATTAAGGGCTCAAGTAGAAAGCAAATGTTTTGAGAATGATAATGGCAACAAATGTACAAATGTGCTTGACACGATGGATGTATGTATGGATTGTGATAAGAATTGTATGAGCCCCCAATAAAATGATTTAAAAAAATAAAGAATACTGAGGTAGAGAGAGATATAACAATTTTATGCACCTAATATCAGAGCTCCAAAATAGATGAAGCAAAAACTGACAGAACGGGAAGGAGATATAGACAAATGAATAATTATAATTAGATTTCAATATTTCTCTCAGTAAATGATAGAACAGGTAGAAAGAGAAACATTAAGTGTATACATGAACACTCTCTACCAATTTGACCTCATTGTCATTTAGAGACTATTCCATCCAGTAACAGAATACATCTCTTCAAGCACACGTGAAATACCAAGAAAGACTATGCTGGGAGTAAAACAAGTTTTAATAAACTTAAAATAATCGAAATCATAGAGTGTGTTCTCTAAGAAACAAATAGTTAAGGACTTCCATAACATAACTATAACAAGACTTGTCATGGGACTTTATCTTGAGTGATTTTTTTAACAATTCAGTCACTTTTCTCCCTAAGATCTTTGCAGTGCCTGAAAAAGCAGTGAGTAAAGGAGTCTATAACCAGGATAATCTTTCCAGGCATTTACACCTCAGGCAATGTGACCTATTTTTAGTTCTACGTCAGTATGTCCGAGGAGTCCTGGTGGCGGAGTGCATATACATGGGCCTGCTAACCGCAAGGCCAGCAGTGCAAAGCCACCAGCCGTCCTGCAGAAGAGAAGACTTTCATTTCTATGAAGTTTTAGTCTTGGAAACCCACAAGGGCAGTTCCACCCTGGTCCTATAGGTCGCTATGAGTAGGAATTAACTCGATTGCCATGAGTGTGCTATTTTTTGTTTTAGTACGCTTGACTTCAAGTCATTACTGAGCCCAGAGCTTTCAAGGCACACATTGCTCTGAAATATGTTATTTATAGCTCTGCAAAGCTTTCAGTTTCTTATCAATTTTATCTTACACTGATGAATCTACATTAATAATTATGACTTTTTAAGAAACAGGAACTATATTGACTTTAGAATCCAATCAATATGGCTTAAGGCTAAGATGAAAAAGAGAATTTAAAAAATCATGTACCTGAGCTTGCCTAACACTATAGAAATCATCGAAGCTTTCAGGGGATTTGACTCTCTAGCAGCAAAGGGTTAGTTTGTGTGCACACATGCACGAGTATTGTTGGGGGTGGTCTCCAGAATAAAAGCCTTGGATGTGCCATGATTTAGGAAAGATGAGGGTCTGCAGTGGGCATTTAGCACATGGGTCAAATCTAGTCTCCTGTCTGTAAATAAAACTTAACTGGAACACAGCCAGGGAATCATTCACTGTCTATGGCAGCCTTTGTGCTACATAGGTATAACTGTGACAGACCACATACCTACAAAGTCTAAAAGAGTTATTAACTGGCCCTCCACAATGTTTATCAATCCCTGATTTAGAGTACATAGAAACTGCAAAAGCTAGCATCCATTATGAAATGAAGTAACACGTACAGTGAACCCTCGTTTATCGCGGTTAATCGGTTCTAGACCCTACCGTGATAAATGAAATTCCGCGAAGTAGGATTCCTTATTTGTAAATCAAATATTTTTGCTTTGCTTCCTTGTTGAAAGTGAAAGTAGCCATAGCACGGATGTTTTTTTCCTCTTTACGGATGGAGCAAACGGAAGACTCATTCAAGTCGAAATGGCGTGCAACCTCCACGATTTTCTTGCCATCTTTGATCATATCCAAAAGTTTTACCTTTTCCTGGATGGTGAGCATCTTCCTCTGGCACTTATTTTTATTGTCAGAAGGCTTAGAAGAAGCAGCTCGTTTAGGAGCCATCATAGGGCTTAGATAAAATTTCTTAAAAATCGCAAACAATTACAGTACACTGTACAAAAGCAAAAATGCATCTGATACGTAGCTCCAATACGTAGCGATGCAGACAGAAGCGTGTACAGTATGAGCCAATCAGTGGCAGTAATGACAGAGCATGCGCTGTTACGCAAAAAACGCGATAGAGTGAAGCCGCGGAAGTCGAAGTGCGAAGTGGCGAGGGTTCACTGTACTATGAAACAAACAATAGTGAAATACAGTACTAAGATCTTACTAGCACAGTTACAGTGTTATAACAAAGAGACACAAAGCTGCTATATAAAAGTGTGTACATTTAAAAGGAATTCAGGTGTTATGTGGCCAAGACCCACATCCAAGAAAATACCTGGTCTCTCACCTGATACTTTGGTGCATTGTTGCACTGTGGGAAACTGCCATTGACTTCCCCATTATGTAGTAGATTATTGTCCACCAGATTCCAGCCCCAGCTTTGGTCGTCACTGCCCAACAATGCCACATAGCCCTGGCACTGCATGGGGGCCCGTTTAGTGGCGATTCCAATCACGGCCACAGTGCCCAGCGGGCCTTCCCACCATACTTCCCAGGCATGGCGGCCCTCACTAAAGCCAATCTTGGTCCTTGCACCATCAGTGCTTTGCGCAATGGGGTTTCGATGTAAAGTAAAGCCATTCTTCTTAATGTAGACGTTCCTGGAGCAGTCATTAGTGCTGAAGGCATGTTGGAAAGCACGTACCTGAAGAGATGAGAACAGATCAAAGACATAAGATTTTTCTTAATTTCTGAAAGGTACCTGTTACAGATTGAATTGAGTCCCCACTGAAATAGTGTTTCACTTTCTAACCCTATACCGGTGGCTGTAACTCCTGGGGGAAATGGATTATCTTGACTATGTTAACAAGACAGGATTAGTATTGGGTGTGATTTAAATCAATCCTTTGGAACTGTAACAGAGATTAAATTGAGGAAAGCAGAGATAGGGAAGAAACATGCCCAGTCACAATCAGATTGCCCAGGAGCAGAAGGTCCGACGAGACTAGAACCTTACCCCTCGAGCCAACTCTCAGGAAAAGGTACTCTGAGAGGGGCATCTAGCCCCCTGAATTGTGGAAAACACATTTCTGATTGTTTGTTAAGGCTGTTATATATGTAGCTCTTGTATGTCTGTTATAGCAACACTAGATAACTAAGGCCTATCCAAATTTTATGCTTTTGAATAAGGTTGCACACTTTAAAATAATGCAATGAATTATTTAAAACAATGACTAAAGTTTTAGATTGGGATGTGATCATAATTAAAAAGTGCAACATTCAAAATAATCGCCAACTTGTTTCTTTATTAATTGACAGAAATACTAACATCAAAGATATAAACAAGAATCCTCATACTTTAGAGCTTACTGTATAATGTTTATGGATGTTATGATGTCTGGGCATTTTGCTGAAATAACCCAGGGGTGGAGTGGGACAGTGAAGGGGTAAACATGGAACTTAGCTGGAAGGGCCACAAAGTTCTCATTGTTAAAGCGGGCTGAAGTCTATGGTATTGGGAGGCTCAGGAAACAATTTTCTCTACTTTTGTGTTTGATATTTCCTATTTAAAAAATGAATGCTGAAGTTTTCGTGTTCGTGATGTGTCACCACAAAGCATGAGATTTTAAGTAAAATAGAAACTTTAGCCAGAGCAGCTCTACAGTTCATGAAAAATTTACTCACCTCAAACAACCTGAGCTCCCAGTCTCCTTGCTAGGGAGTTACTCATACACTCACAGCATCATGCGCATCTTACCAATCACACACCCCTCAGATAACATCTACTTGCAACCACCACCGGCATTTATAAAGTGTCATATGCGCAGCTGCCACCGACAGGGCAGAATAGTTGACCTTTCAGTCATAGCAGGAGCTTTAAATATAAAGGCAGTATTAAACAGCTACTCTATACATGACAACTCCTTATATTTCAATAATTTAAAACTTTGTGTATACGTGTTTTTTTAAAATTCTTCTTTGCTTTGTTCAAATGACTGAGAAGTAGTCCACAGTTAGGACGCATCACTCTAGTTAGTAGAAATCAATCTGAGTCACAGAATCCCATGATTGGGAGGGACCTGTAGTGGCGTAGTGAGTTACCTGGTGGGCTTGCTAATCATGAGGTCAGCAGTTCAAGCCCATCAGTCCCCCAAGAGAGAAGCCTCTACTCCTGTACAGAATTACAATCTCAGAAACTCACAGGGGTAGTTCTACTCTGTCTTAGAGTGTCATTGTGAACTGGAATAGACCCGATAGCTCTGAGAGTGTGATGAATCCGAAACAACTCAACGACAGTGGGTTTGTCTGGGTTTATACAAAGCCTGTGCAAATTTTCTCTTGTCCTACTTCTGTTCAGGGTTATTTTCTCTTCTCCAATTATTCAAATCTTCTCCCTTTCAACTCTAACTTTTACAGCTCTCACCTCATTGAACTACTAGCATAATTTTTACACCTTCTAATAGTAATTGAAAGGAGGCCTAGTGGGGGAGTGGTGAAGTGCTTGGCAGTAAACCGGAAAGTTAGCAGCTCGAACCTACCAGCTGCTTCAGAGGAGGAAAATGTGACCGCCTGCTTCCAAAAGAGATTTTACTTCTTTGGAAACCCACAGGGGCAGTTCTACCCTGTCCTACAGGGTGGCTATGAGTTGGAATCCACTTAACCGCCAGGGTTTCACCGTAAGGAAGAGTCAAGTGCTTGACTACTCCTGACAGGTTTCTACCCAGAGGCACCTTAGGGAAAAGATCTGGCAAGTGCTCCTGAAAGGCCACAGCCTTGAAAAGTCTTTGGAGCCCTTTTCTACTCTGTAACCCACGAGGTCACCATGACTCAAAAGTGAACAGACAGTAACTGCTTGGTTTTTTATTCTTAACAGTAAGAAGCCATTGTTACCATGTAGAACTGTTACTAATCTTCAGATTTAAAATGCCCTGCAACAAGCACAGCATGTCATTAGCTTTTCTACAGTATTTGGAGGAGCCCTGGTGGCACAATGGTTAAGTGCTCAGGTGCTAACTCAAGGGCTTTGATGAGCGCTGAAGGCCCTGGGCCCTGAGGCCCCTCCCCGTAGACTGGACTCCCTTCTCCCCACTGCTGGGCCAGTGGAGCGGGGAGCAAAAAGGCCTCTGACTTACGGGAAGAGCCAGTGGCTCCGAGGGAGAAATAGCTAGCGATCTGCTCCCATAAAAAGTTATAGATTAATGGAAATTAAATAATTGGAAACACAATTTCTTGGGTCACCATGCCTTAGTCCTCAAAGTGTTACCTTTGTAACACTTTAAAGAAGTCTTGTGTAGTAGATTTGCCCAATTAAATACATCTTGTTTCGGGAGGTGGTGGGGTGGTGGTGGGAAGAGTGATAAACAAACCCACCAAACTGCAGGACTGTAAAATCGCTCTGGAACCGAGGATCTAGGAATCACAAATGAGTTCTCTTCCTATAGCTGACTTTGGCAAATTTGTATGCAAATTGGTACAGTTAGTCAAATTATTTGTTTAGTATATAGAGTATAAAAGGAGCTCTGTGGGCACAGTGGTTATGCATTGGGCTGCTAACTGCCAGGCCAGCAGTTTACAACCGCCAGCTACTCTTGGACTTTCTACTCCCATAGAGTCAGTCTTGGAAGCCAAGAGGGACAGTTCTACTCACTCTATAGGGTTGCTTTAAGTCAGCATCAATTTAATCACTGAGTTTTTAAATATAGTATATAATGCAAATTTCTATGCATTAAAGAAAGACTTCCAGATACATTAAAACATCCTTAACATGATACAATAGTACTATTAATAATACGAATTTGGGGGGGGGGCATGTCACAAAGTAGTGCTATGTCAAATACTAATAACCCGGGGGCTGCCTATAAATGGCATTGTGAACACAGAATACTTCCAAGAAGGAGAACCAGGCAGCCAAAGGACAATGGTTGAAGACATTTTTCTGTGAGTCATTTTGCATCCTGAGTCATGCGACCGTACTATTTATTACACATAATCAATTATAAAAATTTCTGCAGACAACAAGCTTCACGAAACCCACAGGCAAAGTAAGACAAGCCTTCAATCTTCTGCACTCCACTGAAGAGATGACATCTAACAGCCACTGTGCATATACGTGGTACAGATACTGTCTGGCCTAAGCGAGCAGCAAGTTACTTCACTTACTATAAACACTACTTGAGGGTTAATGGCAATGTTCTTTGTTGTATTAAAGGAAGCTTGTTTTATTACCAAAAAGCTCATTTTACACTTACTTCACATGAAATTTTTTACACTTTTACCCTGCCCTCCTCTCCCCACTGGCATTAAAGGGGGATTCCCCCCATGGTCTTTAATGTTACTAATGTATTTTTTACAAGTATGTTTACCACATTTCAAATCATAGGCTTCTTCCTCTCCTCGATGCTCTTGGTGACTGCTATTCTGGAGAGCTGTTATTGGACCAATTGGGCCTGAGCCTGAGCCTTTTGTTTACACTGCCCGGTCTGACACCTTTACTGTGTGTACGAATAAACACACAAATCCAGGAGATGGGCTGGAAACAGCATGTTTGCTGGCAAACGCAAAAGAAATGACACACCATCCAGGTGGGAACTGCTGAGTTGTGAAATAAAAAGTTGGCAAGGACGTAGCCAATAATAGTGGGACAAGGCAATAGGATATTAAGAGGTACCGATGGGAAGATGTATCTCGAAAGATGTATGAAGCCTGTATCTTAGAAGTTAGCAAGACGCTGGGAACTCGTTTGTAAACCTGAACCATAATGGAGGGGATTAAGGAGAGCTTGGGAAAAATAAAGAAAAAAAGGGTTACAGATAAAGGAAAAGATGCCGAAATCATTTTATAGCGTCTCTTTGCAGGGCGGGAAGGAAAACTGGCCGATCATATTAAAAGGTGCAACAATGGGAGTGGTCGGTCTTTTAAGGTGAAAGGGCGGTTCAAAGTAGAATGAAGAATGGAAGCCAGGGATGGGAAATCTGCCCGGTCCTTAAAAGAGTGGACTACAAGCGGGGCTCACTCATGAAAGAGAACTTAACCGTGCTAGTGTGTAGCGCCATCCGAAGAGATGTTGATGGAGGGGGTCAGCGGAGTGGATGAGGTAAGGCAGGAGCCATGGGGCGGCGGGATGGAGAGCCGGGCAGACTGACTCAAACGCTTTAGATGGGAAGCTCTGCGAGCGGCGGCGCCAAGGATGGGACGGGGGACAGCGCCGTGGTCGGGGCTCCCTCACCTTGGCCTTGTAGCTGGGCAGGTTGCAGAGGATGTCCGTGCGCAGAGCCTCTTCGGCCAGGCTGCGGGCGCACAGGCTCCGCCACACCTCGCTGTTTTCATCGCCGTGCAGGCAGCGGTACCAGTGCTTGCACACCAGGGCGCAGCTCCGGAGTTCGGACAG